TTGGACCAGGATAGGAAGAGGAGGCTCAATATTCGACGCATCGCAACAAGACTTTACGAAGAGAAGAAGGAGAAAACAAGCAACAACACGATTCTGATCCGATTTGATTCAGTGGTTGATTCAATTTAACCACTTCGCCTCGCTCAAATGAGCTACCAAATGCAGGATTGGGCCGAGAAACCGTCGGAACGGGCACGATGGTCGCCTCTAACACGCATGCTTCTGTCGGGTGAGATGACCCAGGAGAAGCAACAAGAACTATCGTCAAGAGAAAAGTTTGATCGCTGGATGATCAACGAGGGTTACCGAAGATTGTAAGTCATGTAGCGCATACCTCGATTTCATATAGTGCTGACTCATTATCCCAAGCTTTGTCTTTGTCTTTATGCTTCTACATGCCCTCATCTTCTCTTTCGCATGCGTCCACTACGCCCAAAAGGAAAGTCTTGAATCATCACGCAAGACCTTTGGATTCACTTTCGTCATTGCTCGTTCAGCAGCGCTGGTTCTTCACGTCGATGTCGGAATCATTCTTTTCCCCGTGTGTCGAACTCTCATCTCTCTGCTCCGCCAGACGCCTCTCAACGGAATTCTCCAGTTCGACAAGAACATCACCTTCCATATCGTCACAGCCTGGTCCATCGTCTTCTGGTCCTGGGTTCACACTATTGCTCACTGGAACAACTTCGCCCAGGTCGCCATCAAGTACAACCTTGGAATTTACGGATGGCTAGTTGCCAATTTTGTGTCCGGTCCAGGATGGACGGGTTATGTGATGCTGATTGCATTGATGGGCATGGTTCTTACCTCAATGGAGAAGCCTCGTCGCGCAAATTTCGAGCGTTTCTGGTACACTCACCATATGTTCATCGTTTTCTTCTTCTTCTGGTCTATCCATGGAGCTTTCTGCATGATTCAGCCTGATGTCGCTCCCTTCTGTACCAGTATTGGATCGTCAGCTATTGGAGTCTTCTGGCAGTACTGGATGTACAGTGGCTTCTGCTACCTGGCCGAACGCATTGCTCGTGAGGTCCGAGGCCGTCACAGGACATACATCACCAAGGTTATTCAGCACCCCAGCAACGTCTGCGAGATCCAGATGAAGAAGGAACACACAAAGACTCGCGCTGGTCAGTACATCTTCCTTTGCTGTCCTGCCGTGTCACTCTGGCAGTACCACCCTTTCACTTTAACCAGTGCCCCCGAGGAGGACTACATCTCTGTGCACATGCGTTGCGTTGGTGACTTCACCAAGGAGTTCGCCAAGTCTCTGGGTTGTGATTGGAGCAAGAAGAAGGATACTGGCGATGCTAGTAAGGTTGTTGGCCTTACTGGTCGTGACTCTGAGATCGACCCAGCTATCCGTCGTGTTCTCCCCCGAGTATATGTTGACGGTCCCTTTGGTTCTGCTTCAGAGGATGTCTTCAAGTATGAGGTCTCCGTCCTTGTCGGTGCCGGTATTGGTGTGACACCGTTCGCCTCTATTCTCAAGTCCATCTGGTACCGGATGAACTATCCTCAGAAGAAGACACGGTTGTCCAAGGTCTATTTCTTCTGGATTTGCCGTGATTTTGACTCCTTCGAGTGGTTCCGCTCGCTGCTTCTCGCAGTTGAAGCTCAGGATCTGGACCATCGCATTGAGATTCACACCTATCTCACAGCCAAGATTAAGGCCGACGATGCAACAAACATTATGATCAACGACGCCAACGCCGACAAGGATACCATCACTGGTCTGCGCAGCCCGACCAACTTTGGTCGACCCAACTGGGACATGATCTTTAGAGGTATCAGGAAGCTGCACAGCCCTGCTGAAGCAGGTGTGTTCTTTTGTGGCCCCAAGGGTCTGGGAAGTTCGCTGCATACATATTGTAACAAGTACACTGAGCCTGGGTAAGTCTACGAATTCTATCGCGTGTAAACCATTGGCTAATGTTGATGCAGATTCTCTTTTGTTTGGGGCAAGGAGAACTTCTAAGCACTGTGTGTTTATGACGATCGTTTAGTTTAAACTTGGGGGAATAGTTGAGTTTGTAATAACAGCGAAGCAACATTGGAGTAGACTTTCTAGAGGGGCCACTCATGATATGAGTGTGTGGTCTTGTTGGAGTTATCATTTTAATACAGTAGAAACAATCAATACGCTGAAAACATTTTTCTGACATGTTCAGCAACGTTGCTAGTTAAGCGATCTTGACCATTGACTTGTAGATCGAGCTGAGGAATGTTACCAGCCTCGTTGAAAACTCTATAATCTCTTACCAGGGCATAGATAAAGTACCGACTACTTGGAGTGCTGACGTTGGACAGCAACCAACTTTACGCAGACGAGAGCACATCTTGAAACGTTTCATATGAATGGAAAGTAACTTATAGCTGCGTCTTATGATCATGGATGGTGAGTCCTACAAGCTGAGCCTTGGATCTTGGTTGTTGAATGATTCAAGAGCCACTTTCGACAAGGACACGAAAAGCCAATCAATTCTAGGCACGCCACGATCATGCAAGCAGGGTCTACGGGTAGAGAGTCCAAAATAACCCCCAACGGCTGGACTGGACTGGACTGGACTGGGCTGATCATGATATGTGCATGTCTCACCACTTGACAACGTGTTGAAGTGCAGCAAGTGGCTGATGAGTGAGAAGCCAAGAAAGGGTGTTACCGATATAGAGACGGGAATGGCTTTTAATAGGCATGGATGTTGCTTGGACTATTCCAATGATAATGTATAGCATAACATACATATACATAGCGTTGGATGCATTGCATTGGTGCTTACGGTGAGCCCGATGCAACCATCCAAGTGAGTCTGAGAGGGACAGAGATATGGACATGCGAAAGCGAAATCTTGTCTTTTGACGAGAATTAATCATCTGGTAGATAGAGACTAATCTCGGTAGTCTGTAGTGAAGTGAATTTCTCGTGTACTGTAAGTTATGTATCTGTCTTGGCTACCTTAGGTACTGTATGTATTGATTGCTTGGTATGGATGGGGCTTGGAGAAGACCCTGCAGATCTTGATTAGTACCTACTACCTAGGGTAGAGAGTAGTAGGTAGGTGATTTTGACAATGGAGGGGAATTCTAACATTATCGAGTCTATTGTTTTATAAAGCAATGGGTGCAATCTCAGGATATTTTATTGTTATTATTATTATTCAGCCCAGCAGAAATTAGAAGGAAACAAATTAATCGCAGGTGCCCATTTCGGGGCTCGACCCTCCAAGCTAAACCGCCCTGGAGTCAATGCCCCGACCAGTCCCGCTAATGGATCATAAAGGTCCTGTCGGCGTCGGCCAGACAGCTGGAGCCATGAGAGCATGACCTCGTCTCGTCTCGTCTAATTGAGATACGAGCATCATTTGACCATTGACAAACTGATGTCATTAATGGGAAATTGAAAATAGTATGTATTCATTGGATCCGTACATACATCATCTCAGACGTGAATGATACTGGGAAAAGAAAAAAACATCTTTCGGCAACGTTTCAACGCCTTTTTCTTTTCTTCTTCTTCTTTCTCTTTAGCACTCGACGCCACTTCCCTGATGGATGTCTGCATCTGAGCTACTAAGGTAGAACTAGGGGGCCACCATACCTAAGTGACAAGAGGGCAGGGCAGACGTGCCTTGGACGTGTTCGTGGCAGTCTGAATAAAATTTTGACATGTCTTGACTATCATTTCTGGGCATCTGTCACGTTTTGCCTTGCTCTGCAAAGGATCAACGACGATCAGCAGGAGAAGGAACAGCAACACCGATGAGACAAGAGTCGACAGTACTTACCTTGCAGGTATAACCTCGTAAATAGAACAGTAGCAATCTCAAAAGAGTCGAGGCGCAGCGCAATGACAATCGGGCTAGTCTGTTCTCGGAAGACTGATCAGGGGTCTAGTCCTCGGTTCGTCAGCTTCGAATGTACAGATACATCCATCCGATCCGATGGATGCCATCCCGGCCCCGGCTCAGCAAACGAAAAGCAGTGATACATGAACATGGATGGCAATCAAGACGGGAGCATAAGAGTACAAAGATGAGGCTGCCTCCGTTGCACATTGTGATTGTACTGTAGAATAAACACTTGATCACTGCATAGAACTCGACTTGTTCTACGGCCTCTCAGGTTTGGTGGATAGGTACCGACTGTCACAATGCTTGGCCTAGGTCCCCTCGTCTCGTGTTCAACCCCATCTCCTCCAATAAACACTCCCCATCGCATTGAGTTCCTGCCATGTGTGCAGGGCCAGAGCTACTTTGCCACAAAGTATCCTCTACTTTACACCCTAAAAGTCCGTTCCCCGTACAAGCGGGCACTCACTTGCAGCAATTTTTTTCTAGTGCAGTGTACTGTAGGTAGGTACTGTACCTAGGTACAGTAGTGTGCTGGCTGCTGGCCGCTAACCCAGACCTCCACTGGTGGTCACTCGCTGTCGGGTTCGTTCGCTGGCCGGTCAAATCCGCTCTTCCCGCGCCATTCCTTCCAAAGGTTGCTCTTGCTCACTCACACTCAAGTCTGTTTGCTACGCCTCCCATCAGTCTTCTTCATCCGTCCTTCGTTCCGTTCCCTTTTCCCATCTCACCCCAACACACGAACGAGGAGTTGTTCATTAGAAAACTGCTTGTATCTCCTACTAAACCCCCCTACCATTTCTCACACTCGTTCACATACAGCTTCTTTTTTCCTTTATTCCAATTTTTATTCCTACGTTTCCTTTATTTTTGTCCTAGTCATCGCTTCACGCGCATTCGTTCCTGACTGCCGCGTACTCCTTATCCACATCGCACAAGCCAGAGACAAGTAGTGACAACCTACTTCTGCTCTCTGTTTGACGACTCCCTATCAGAGACCTTTTAATCTGAGACGGTCGCTGTTTTTTCCTCTCATTGGATTTGTCTTTCTTAGAGCCGAACCCTTCTGGGTACACTTCGTCCAATAGCCCAGACCATATTCGCGATACCGCCTACCTGCTTTAGTTGAATCGATAACTCCGACCCTTCAATATGCAGTTGAGAAAGTTCTTGCTTCTGGGCATGCTCCTCGGCGTTGAAGCCACCAAGCTTGTTGGTCGTCAAGACACTGGCTCCGACAGCTCTGCCGCCGCCGCGCCCTCGACCGATTCCTCTCCCGCATCTACTGCTGATGCCGACCCTTCGCCAACTGACGATGCCGCGACCACTGCTGCCGACCCTACCACCGCCGCCGAACCCACTGACGATGCCACCACTGCTGCTGATCCAACAACTGATGACACTACCGACTCTACGACCTCAGCTGAGGATGTTACCGTCACAAAGACGGTTACTGTAACGGATTCCGACGCCAAGACTGTGAGCCGCGCGACTACTGTGATGAAACACATCACCTCCACTGTTGTTGTTACCTCTACCGTTTTCGAGACCAAGACTGTTACTAGCAGCGACGCCGAGACTGCGACCGAGACGGAATTTGTGACTTCTACCCAGTGGGCCAACGAGAAGCGTGCTCTTGACCTAGCTCCCCGAACTATCGGCGGCGCTGAACTCGTCGCTCCTGCCGCGCCTACTGTTTCTTCTGTTCCTCACGACTTCCACATCGAAATCCGTGGTGATCAGTACGGTCTCCGTGCCTTCCGACGAGGCCTTCACAAGCGTGCCACTACCACCGAGACCGTTACTGTTACCGAGGGTGATGATTCCGGCACTACCGTCTTCAACACTATCGCCCGAACCGTCATCTCTACCATCAGCAGTCAAACCAAGGTCACCAAGACCCTTACCAAGACCGCACAGGAAGGTGCTAGCACCACCATCACTACTACGAGCACCGTTGTTATTACCTCTACTAGAGTGACGACTGGAGTTGTTCGCACAGCGACTGTTGCTCCTTCAGGAGAGTATGGCCCTGCTGGTACCGGCGGCGCCAGCTCTGATGATAGCAACAACAGTAGCAACAGCAACGATGATGGCGGGCTCTCTACCGGCGCCAAGGCTGGTATCGGTGCTGGCGCTGGTGTTGGTGGCCTTCTTATTATTGGAGGTCTAATTTACTTCTGCCTTCGTAAGCGTCGCAATGCTAAGAACAAGGCTGAATACGACGATGTCTTTGGTGCATCTGAGGTTCCTGTCGGTGGCCGAGGCGGCGGCGGCGCTGCTGCCGCTGTCGGTACCAACCCCCACATGTCCCAGACTTCCCCCGCTGCCACCTCTACTCTTGCTCCTAGCCGCAACACTACCCAGTCCGAGGGCTACCGCGGTACTGCTCTCGGTGACGGGCGTGCTGGATTCGCCAAGCCCCAGCAGTTCGGACGTAGCTACATGGCCGTTAGCCCCGAGACCAACTACTCCCGCACTGCCGGCAGCGACCAGGCCTTCTCAGCCGTCACCCCTGAGAACAACTACGCTCACCCTGCTGGACACTCGCCGCACAACAACGCTGCCGAGATGTACAGCCCCGCCAACACAGCAGAGCTTGCAAGCGACAGCGCTGCTACCAAGTGGCATCAAAATGATGCTGCTGAGATCGATGGAAACCAGGTCGCAAGCGCTCGCGGTTCAGCACCACCTGAGAATGTTTATGAGATGCCGGCGCAACCCTACCGGTAAATGAAGATGGTGCCGGGTGTCCAGCATAGGGGTCACTGGCAGGGAAATGGATGGTGAGAAGAAAAACTTGAAGATGGTTGATGATACTCCCCATGAAAGCTAGAGGAGGGGATTAATTAATGTCAGATACTGTACATATTGTAAACCCATTTACTTTTTCCTTGCGTTATGATGTTGGTTAAGCGGACGAGAGCAGGAGATGATTTCTTCCATTGATTGCATGACGTTGTGTATCTTCTATTGCTACCATCAGGCACTGGTGGGACAGTCTTGCGGGATCCGAGGGGATTGATTATAGATAGATATTGAAAAATGAAACAATTCTGCAGTTTTGGGGCTCTGTAAGATGATTCTGTGAGATGTTTATTTGTTGTTGGTTAAATTATGCTTATGCTCCGTTACGTTACAATGGAAGCTTAGATTTGAATTGTCTGCTACTACGCGACACAATGATACCCAAGTTCCGTCGCGGTGGGATAAGATGCTGGCTACCTAACCTAGGTACTTTGAGTTTTGCTGATTAACTTTAACGTCGTTCAACGTCACTCAGCAGATGAGCATTGTCGACGTTGAACTTGTCATACGTTTACCCGTCTGTGCTGATTAATCTAACAGTACTGGACTTGGACTGTTGAGTAAAAACGTCCGTTATCGGTGGCGCCACTTGATGTCGTGCATTAGGTACCTAGGTACTGACTGTACTGTACCAGAAGAACGAACATGAGGGAGACGAGACATACAGTAGTTGATCGTGAACTCGAGTGTCTGAGCAACAAGAATTCCTTGAGTGCAGTCTAGGTAGATAGACTCGGCTATCTTTCTTTCTGATCATTACGGCCTAATGTTGACCCAAGTTTTGCCACTGCTATCCTGACTGAATACAGACAGTATCATAGACGGGCTACTTACAATTCTCAAGGTTTCGAGTACAGTAACGAGTAGTTAAATTCCTGGATATGATCGCCGTCCCACATCAACACTCACCTAACTACTAGCCTATTATTGCAGCATTCAAAGTCACAGTGCTGTTCTGTAGTCTGTAGTCTGTATCCCTCAGAGAATAATAAAATAAGATAAACTCTTTTTGTGCTACCGGACAAGTTTCGGATGAGCTGATTTAGCGGAGACCTTTTTATCATTACAAAAGGGAAATCTCGGCAATCCTGGACAGCTCGAAACCTTCTGATACTTTTTTGTTTCTAGACTCTTTCGACTTGTGTCTTTTTTTTTTCTCTTTCTTTCCCTCTTTCTTATGCGCCAAGCTTAGCCTAGTTATTTTTCCCTTACCAAGACGGTTGTCGCAAGTGGCGCGGTCTTTTATCCCGTGTCGCGCTCGTCCGAGACCTATTTGTTCGTCGCCTCTGTTCTCTTTAAACAGAGATTGGTTCCTTTTTCCTTCACTATCACAAGGAGGATAAATTGAAAGAGGTGAAAAGTCGAGTCCGAACCGTGAGTCTTCCCTGGGTATAGTACCTAGACAGTGATTGCATCCTTGTTGAAAAATACTTTACTTACCACCCCGCTAGAAAACTTCCATTAATTATCAACCACTATGGCCTCCAAGGACGGCGGCCAAGATACTACACCAAGGCGTCACAGTCTTAACGATGAGTGTGATCCTAACTCGGCGACTGATGAGAAGAGACTTGTTGCCAAATTGGACTTTTACATCATACCTCTCATCATGGTTCTCTATCTTTTCAGTTTCTTAGACAGGTTCGTTTCATGATGGAATTCGTTGAAGGAAAAGATTTCTATGGCTAACTCGCAACCGATAGAGTCAATATCGGTAATGCTCGACTATACGGCCTTGAGGAAGACCTAGGGCTCTCATCGAATCAGTTCCAGGTCGCTGTGTCTATCCTCTTTGTCACATACCTGCTCTTCGAAGTTCCATCTAACCTGGTATTGAAACTCTTCACTCCGCGCCGATGGATTGCTTTCATTGCTACTGCATGGGGTATTATCGCTACACTCACCGGTCTCGTGAACTCATACGGCTCTCTGATTGCCTGTCGTTTGCTTCTCGGCGCCGTGGAAGCCGGCCTTTTCCCCGGCTTGACGGTGTATCTCACATTCTTCTACACCAAGAGAGAACTCGCTCTCCGTGTGGGCTACCTTTTCGTCAGCGCTGCAGTCGCCGGCGCTCTCGGTGGCTTACTTGCGTACGGAATTGGCCACATGGACGGAGTGCGCGGTATGAGCGGCTGGCGCTGGATCATGATTATTGAAGGAATCCCCAGCTTCTTGATCGGTGTTGTCACTTATTTTGTGCTGCCCAACGATGCTGATACGGCGTACTTTCTCGACGACAATGAAAAGGCTCTCATGCGCTTGAGACATGCGCGCGAGTACGGAAACACGGCGTCGAGTCGGGAGTTCAGCAAGAAGGACATGATGTGCGCTTTCAAGGACTGGAAGGTATGGGCGTTTTGTGTTGCCCAGTTTGGAGTCGACACTATGTTGTACGGTGAGTTTGGATGTGTCACCCAGCTTCTGAAACTTGTTCTGACGCATGCGTAGGATTCTCTACTTTTCTGCCGACTATCATCAAAGATCTCGGCGACTGGACAGTTGCAGAAACACAACTCCTTACCGTGCCCTGTTACTTCCTCGGTGCCGCGGCATACATGTCTACAGCATTCCTTTCGGACAAGCTGCAGCGCCGTGGACTCTTTTGCGTGATTTTTGGACTCATCAGCTGTGTGGGCTATGCTGTTCTCCTGGCAGATATTTCTTCTGGTGCACACTACTTCGGCTGCTTCCTCGTCGCTGGAGGTTTGTACGTGGTTGTGGGTTTGCCATTGGCATGGGTAAGTTATAGCAACAACTTTGTGGCAGGAGTATTTGAACTGATTCTATTAGTTGCCCACAAATTCACCTCGTTATGGAAAGCGCACCACGGGTACAGGCATGCAGCTGACATGGGGCAATGCGGCAGGCATCATGTCTGCGTTCATCTAGTGAGTGCCTATATCTAACAATCACCGGACTTCTTCTGACCATGACAACAGTCCCGCTTCGGACAGACCTCGATACATCAAGGGTCACGCTGTGACGCTCAGCATGGTTGCGCTTGGTACTGTGATCTATGGGTTCATGTGGTGGTGGTATCGACGAGAGAACGAGCGAAGACAAGCAGGCTACGTTGACGAGAAGTATCGAGGAATGGGAGAGGACGAGCTGGCTGAGCTTGGAGATGAGAGCCCTCGTTATAGGTTCACGGTTTAGAGGGCGGTCCTGGGTAAAGAGAAGGATAAGTGCTGATATTATGAGGTATGAAAAATGAGGTGTGGCAGTGAGGAAATAGGAGGGGCATTAACAACTTAAGCGAGCGTTGAAATACGATAGATCTAGACATCCATTATATACTGTAGAGAGCAGAGTTCCTTATTAGGTACCGAGTCTACTGTTTAACGTTACAGGATTGTAGTTGGATCACTCACTGGGCAGAGCCTCAAGAGCGTACGTGTTCAGGGGCTACCAACCAATCATGATTTAGGGTCATGTTGCTGGGGTGTCTTACAACTGGCAAGGGAGAGAGACTGTTGATGGAATGATACCTGGGACTGTGTATGAGAGAACGTCTATGATGCGATATCTGAGCACCTATGGATATTGTGTCCCTGCCTCTTTGAGGGAGAATAGTTGAGGCAGCGTACGTCAGCTGGCTCAAAGTAAAGTGGTGTTATGTTGTGCGTGCATAATCAATACGAGATTTGACACATATCTAATGGATCCGTACTTGTTGCTCCAGCTCACTAAGAGGCTGTATCTTTTGGACTTTAGTAGTGATGAATCTGGGTCTCGTGAGAACCTACACCTACTGGGAATTTCTCTCCATCACCGTCATTACATGGCATCGCATCGCATCCTTGAATCCAATATGGATGTATCGTAGCATCCATCGGACAGAACGAGAACTACCTACCTACCTACCTAGGCACTGAAGTAGGTAGGTACCTAGAAATTGTACTGTACTGTACTGTACCTGTACCCCAGGATCGGGTGTGGGCCATCGCTAGCGGACCCTGTAGTTACCAAATATAGGTGCATAACTTTTAGCGTAGGAAAAATAAAAGGCTTAACCGACTTGTTGTTCCCTTGTCCGCTTGTCCCCCTTGTCTGGTTTCTCTTTTCTACGGGTCCATCTTCCATCTTTGATCCTCCCTCCCTAACTACCTACCTACCTACCTAATTTCTTCTACTCTCGTTTTTGGTTTTGTCGACTTTACCAACTTCGTCTACTGTCTTTCGTTTGTCTTCTTCGACAGTTGGAACTTGCTCGACTTCTATTTCTTCTCTGCAGTCGTTCGTTGTCTCGGCAACATCCCCTATTTCCTCGCTCGCCTCGTCCGTTCCATCCATCTTCAACGACTCTTGACGATTTGCCGACACCATGCGTTTCTCAAAGCACGTCCTCCCTCTTGCTATGCTCCTCACCGGAGTCATCGCTGCAAAGGAAGAGGAGTCTACCACCGCTGCTGAGAAGGCCAAGGCCACCGATGACAAGCCTTCCGAGACCACCACCGATGAGTCCAACACTGCAGACGCGACAGATGAGGCCACTGCCACCGCCACTGCCACTGGAAAGAACGGCAAGGACCCCAAGAGCGACAAATCCGAGACTGACACCGAGTCCAACACAAGAGAGAAACAGGCCGCTTCCAAGACGGCGACCGAGAAGGGTAACGGACCTACAATCACTTGGGATCCTCCTGCTCCCAAGACTACCGTTCCTGATATCAATGCCGGCGCTCCTTCGCCTATGACTCCTGGTGTTGTAGTTCTATCACTGGTTCTTGGTATTACATCTATCGGCATGGCACTCCTATAAGAACAAGAACATTTATGGCCGTCAAGCCAACCTAGATGAGCTTCTCTATAGCGGCAACGACCCTACCCTATGCAAGCGTTTTTGGTTATCGAACTATTCTGTTCATTTTATTTCGCATAATGGTGGCGCTATATGGAATGGCTATGGTGATTGTTTTTTTTTTTTTTT